GACACGCCAGAGGAGCGAATGGCGCGTGTGCTCAAGGCCAAGTACGACGCTGGACTCTTAAAGCCGTTCAATTACATCAACGGTTATTCTCGCTTGGGTGCATATCTCAATTCACACATCACAACGGCGTCAAGGGAAAAGATTCTGAGGACCATCGCCCGGTTCCGGCCCGCTTTTCGAGAAAAGGCACATGCTTTGACGGATATAGAACTTGTGTACGTTGAGATGTGGTTTGAGAAACAGCTCATGGACTATGACCGGGTGTTTGCAAGCATGGCAGTGCCCGCGTGCTGCTGGCGAAGAACCGGTGAGATCTTCAGGGGCAACAAGGAGATGGCAGAGTTGATTGGCGTGTCAGTAGCTCAGCTTAGAGATGTAAGTCCTGCTTTGCTTGGCCTACACCTCCTCGTGACAGCAGTAGTTTGGTGCCAGCCAAAGCACAGGGGGTTTGGCAAATAGATTGCTAACGTTCGCTTACTCTAGGGCAAAATCGCGTTGCACGAAATCCTCACAGAAGAATCAATGGTGCGATACTGGGAAGAGTTTGGCACGATTGCCTTCGATCCAGCGCACGAGACCCTCTTGACGGCCTGCTCCCTGAAGAACCCAACCCCTGGGTCAACGCATCCAGTTGTGAAATGTTGTTTCTCGTTCATGATCAGAAGAGACGAGCACAAACTGTACGTATTAGTCACTCGGGCTCCATCTGCCTCCCTATACTGACTAATTCGAATAGACCAGCTCTTATTGTTGGTAATTTCTTGCCGCATGACCCACCAGCACAATAACCATGGGCACACCGATACATGTATATGCTGTAAATATATGATGCTTCGTGACAAGAAGCACAACATGAGTTGCCACACTTGCAAAAGAGTGCTATGAGGCCTCAAACATTAGTAAGAAAAAGAAAATAGTCGGGATCGGGAACGGCGCTTGGATACAAGGATTCGGAGCGTATGTATTCATTTGCAGTACGTTAGACAGAAGATGACAGTTTGAATATTATCTTGCTTCAGAGAAGTCCCTTGGTGATGATGGTGTTCTTCCGGGTCCTTCCTTGAATTCATGACCTTTGGAGTCCGATTTTCGGCTTTGGGCAGTTGGGTGGGCAGTTGGAAGGAGCACTTTCATCGCTCCTACTCTCGACCGTTCCGTTCGCAGTAGACTCACATGACTCGGTTCTAAATGCAGGAGGATCTTATGGGTTGGGGAATTATTTGCCTTAGTTTGCCTTGGGTATCCTATTCTTTCCGTTCATACCATACCTGATAATCACTTTATTCTCCAAATGCACGGCTTCTAATACAAGGCGGCTGCTTTCCCCTTTTTCAAGCCGGTCATGGCGTCGGCTGAAGTATCTACTATCAACCACGCCAAAAAGCTCGAGGAAATCATAGGCAAGGATCAAAGCGAATGGATGTAGTAGATTTTACTGACTCGCAGTATCGGGACAGAATTCGCCACAGATCTCTTTTCCAAGTTGCCCACCTCATATGACTCGAGCTCAACTGATGTTCTCCTTTCCGATCTGAACCATCACATAGCCACAGCCAATGTTCTTGCGGAGAACCGCACTGCTCCTCCGTTAGAAGTCTCCAGGAACCTCAAGGACATCGGGAGGAAACTATGGAACGAATGTATCAAAGAAAGGAGAAAGAGGGACAACTTCCTACAGTCGGCTTCTAGGACTCAACTGCTGGTTCGCACTCGGGTCCTGGCCTTCCTCGCCCATGCTCTCGCACGGGAGCATCGACGTGGTAAAAGGAGGGATAATCTGGAAGATATTATATACATGATGGGCTTGTCACTCACATTAGCGCGAGTGTGTGTCGAATCATCGGACCTAGACGGAGCGCTTCTAAGTATGGCCAAAGCCGCGGATTACATCGACCGACTAAAGAATATCAACAATTTGACTACTGAAGATAGGGCTCAGGTGCAAAAGATTGAGGCTGAATACTTGACCATGCGATGTGCTTTGGTGAGTTAAGAAACAGCATCTCTGACGACTTGCTGACCGGTCAAGTCGTGGAAACAGGGCCGTCTCGACGTTGCGGAGCACATGTACGCCAAAGCAGATGACCTCTTACACAATCTCGATCCAACTTCTGCTGAACACTTGGCTGATACGTTTCACGGAATTGGGGGTGACCTCTTGTCCAAGGGCGATAATGAAATGGCCTTGAAGTGGCTCCGGCGAGCACTTGACCTCATAAATGACCAAGCGCTAGACAGGCTTTCAACAGAAGGGTTGGAACTTCGAATATCCATCCACCACGAACTCATACAGGCATTTCTCGCCACAGGATCGCAGGATGGACTACAAGAAGCTGAGAATCTAGTGTCGCGTGTTGAATCAGAGATCGGGGACAAGCCAGTGGTTTTACATTGGCGACTCGAGATTCTTCAACGATCTCCAAGCGAAGTCTTCAACGCCGATGCATGTGCGAGTATACTGCGCCGTATGATACGTTCGCTCGATCTTTCGGCCGCTAGGCTCGGCTTTCTTCTGCATGGTATCAGCGAACTGCGAATGAGAGGTCCACGTCTGGCGATAGGCCTCATGGATGAGTTATTGCTCAGGAAGCTTATGCCTTCTTGTAACATGGACTGGATAGGCAAAGCCATTGTCCGGCGAGTTTGGATGGGCACGATGGAAGCAGACGCGTCTATGAGCGTAGCAGATTTAACCCAGACCCTGGATCAGCTCGTTCAAGAAGCTGGTCAGTGTGATGTTGAGGCCTCGACTGCTGCACTTTCTGTCAGTCTAACTACCTCAACACTCTTTCATGCACGTAACTGACAAGAGAAGCTCATTTGGAAGAAGCTCGATACTAGTTATTCCAAGAAACAGTACAAAGATTCCCAGCTTTGGTGCCAAGCTGCGCTCCACTCTATCTTTGCGAATAGTGGCGAGGCATGCCAGGGCAAGTTCAGCAGAAGGCTAGTGCTGTGCGCTACTTCTTGTAGTGATGCAGAGACTGCATTTTCTGCATTTCACTCAATGCCTAAAAGTATCCAGGATGAGCCGCTGACTAGATACCTCATGTTCAGGGTTTCTCTACTGAACTGGGACCATGACTTTGGTCGTCAATGTGTCGAATTCCTGGGCAAATTTGCCGAGAAATCTCAGTGTCGAGATATACTATACGCATGTATAAGAGATGCACAGCACGTCGGCGATAAGCTGATGACCTTGGAAGCTTTAAAGGCGGTTGCTGAAACCTTTGATGATGAAGGCTCTTTGACTATCAATCTGCCATCGATTCTGAGGTGTACCATCAGGCTTATACACTCGCTTGAGTCGCAAGGGGGCAGCGAAGGAGACCCAAGTCCTGGGCTTGCAGAAGAAACTTGCCGGATCTTCGAAAAGGGTAAGCTCTCTCCCTCTCTCAAAGGGTTGATTGTGTTCTAACGCGCACAGCTTGTGAGCACGCCAAATTGGATCCAAGGGATGAGCAAGGTTGCAAAGTCTTCACAGTATCGGAGCTGCACTGGTTTCGAAAGAACGCATACAACATCGGTGTGACAAAGTGTCATGTCTAGGGGCTGTGGCATCTAATCCGCATTTTCCGTGCGTGTCTCGCATTTGTGGATTGTTACCCGTCCGATCTTCCTTCAGAGGATGATACTGATCTACGACTTATGTCCGTCCGTTGCCACTTTGTCGTCGCCGCGGCACTTGTCTCCCAGGCTCGTACCGAGGACAAGGTTGATGAACAGCTGCAGCAGTACCTTGAAACAAGACGGCACATTTCAGAATTCGACACCCTTTTTGACGCTCATTTCCGAAACGATCCCAAGTCTCAGATATATCCCGACCTCCTAGCCAAGCTATCAACGCTTTTTGTCCTTGACTTTGAGAGTGCCGTGTGCTTAAAGAGTTGGGATGATCTTAGTCAGATTATTAGGAAGGCCCAAATTTGCAAAAATGAGATGATGTATAAGGCAATGGGAGACTGCTTGTTAAGGAGTGAAGCTTCAGGAAATGGTATGTGTCAATTGGTCTCTAACAGCGCACACGGAAAACTAATTCCAGCAGTCGTGTATGGAACCATGCGGCTTATAATCAATGAGATATTCTCACTGGAGCAATTTGACAACCAGCAACTCGCAAAGTACATGCGTTGCATGTTCCAAGCTATTCTACCCCTGGACGACAACCTTGCTTTCCAGGTTGTGGAACAAGCAGTCCAGATAGCACGCGAAGGAAGCCAAGTAAGTGGTTCTTCCCATCACTATAGATTCTTGACGGGGTTCATTTTTAGCGTGGGCTAACATTTATCACAGGTGCAGAAGCCTTTTCCTGCAGAGGACTTGGACTGGATCATCGCAACAACATTTAATCATGCAATTGATATCTTGGCGAGAGGTGATGAGGATCTATGTCAGCAATGGGCTATGAAGGCCCTTGACCTGACCGAGTATATGGATGATAATGGCGATATGCGAGATATGCTGCGGGAAAGAGTTGTCAAGCTGGGCTTGAGCAAAGAGGCACCCAGCTGATTTCCGACATATTCTTCACTCACACCGATGTTGACGTACTTTTCACTTCAAATTGGTAACCGAATATAAATGAAACGGTCTTGATGGGATATCCAAGCTGAAACTTGTCTCCTTGTGCTACCACACAAACGGTAAATTCGTGTATCCATTATAACCGTTGCAGAAAGTATACAGCTCTATGGGTCATGTCCCAACAACGCCGGTTGCGCCTCTGTGCTATGCAAAAATCCTATACTCATCTCATGCAGCGCGTGGTATCTTCGTACAGATTCTCCCCAAGCAGTACTATACTATACTACCTGGAGGCAGCTATACGCAACAAAATATCAGGACGCCATGTCAAAACAGAATGCACCAAAACCAGGCTGTTTATATATGCCTTGTTCCTTCAACTTTTGCAGGTGAGCCAGCTTCCAGCACTAGACAAGGAAGACAAGGCTCATAAAATAAACATTAAAAATCGCTTTCATAATTCCCCACCACACGCTTTATATAATATTGGCGATGCTCAAACGCTCCTTGCTGGTAGTTGGGGCGGTTGCGCTTCCACTCGGTGTCCTGCTGCCCCCTGCCACAGGGCTCACCGCTGTACTTCCCTCGCCCAACTTGGGTATCTCGGACCCGAAACGCGATACATCGCCTAGCCTTGGGAGTTCCACCGCTGGGCCAGGCGTCTCGCTCTTGATGGGCGGAGGTAGCGTCCAAGTTGCACTTGAGGGGGTCGGAGTCGTGGCTGGCCCGCCATCCAGTCCACGAATGGCCGTCTCGAGCCTTGCCCATCCACCCCAATCTTTGTTGTCGACTTCGTCCAGTCCCGTTCGAGCCTCAGGGCTGAACAACTCGTTTCTGGTGGCCGATGTAGGATGCTGAAACGGCGACGGGGACTGGTGCAAATGAACCTCTCGCTCTAGGCCTGCCCAAAGCCACGAGGCATCAGTTGATGCTTGAAGATCAGCAGAAACGTACACAATCAAATCCTCGTCGCGTGACAGCATCTGTAGAAGAGCTGCTTGATCTATCGATGGCCTTGAAGAACTAAAGTGCGGCGGAGCACTCCTTGCTAGGTAGTTTGTACACTCAACTCTCTTGGCTGCCAAGGCGGATACAAAGAACGACAGGTAACGACCGCAAGCGATTGTGATATCTCTTTGTCGATCGATAGAAGCCAGTGCTCTCACAGCCGTCACTGCAGGGTCTATGTAACCAGTAAGGAGAAGAAATAGGGCACAGCGGAATATGTGCGTTGTCAACAAGGTAGTTGCACTGTCGGCCAAGATGCTTCCGTTTAATCGATGGAGTAGAGATACGGTCTCGAGAGCAATGTGAGTACAGCTTTCGAGAGAAGCCATCCGAGCCTCGAGGGGGTACACAGGATCGAGATGATGCCGATGTAGGAGAAGACGAGCGTGGAATAGGTATGCCAACGGAGCAAGAAAGCCAGGTGCAAGGGGCACGCTGCTCGAAGGATCGCATGCTGGCGGAAAGGTGTTCAGACATTTCTTTAGATGGGTGTCAAGGGTTGAGAGATGAACTGATGACATCGACTGGGGTGTCAGCGCTGTAAGAAGCGACGAGTACGACCGTACAACATGGATAACGGCGAGTAGAGAGTGAGTCAAAGGTTCCGCCCCCGTAGGTACCAACATGCCTCCTTCGTGGATAAACTGATCGTCTACCCCGGCTGGCAATGACACGTCACAGTCGTCGTCGTCGATCAGAACGGGTCGGCTCAGCTCAGTAGCCAGGGTCCTATCCAGTATGTATATCATCCACCAGGTCCTGCGTCGCATCTCTCCTTCAATCACTGGCCATGGTCCTGATTCAACGTGCATGCCGAGATCTTGAGAAACACGGACAGCCCTACCCAACCATCCCCAAGCCGCTGACTTCAGGTTCATCTCGTTCAGGCAGAGAGTTACTAATGTTAGTGCCCGGGCATGTTCCAGAGTAAAGTCGTTAGACCATGGATCAATCATCTTGTTGACCATCTCAAGAAATTCGGCAGGTTCGTAAAAGGAGTTTGGCTGGGAGCCTGATGTTGTGTTAAAGAGACTGCCAGTTGCCAGGACTGCGAAGAACATAGAAAGCCAGGCTGGGGACATTCTGTTGGACGCATTGCTGTCGTAGAGGTCGTTGATAGTAGATCGGAACGATGGCATGTGTATGATCGGAAACATGGAGTGGGACGAGTTGCAATAGGCGTGCAGCAGTTGGTCTACCACGTGCCTAGCAGGTAGCTCTGGTCTCGGGGGGTCGAAGAATATAGGGGCTCGTTCACGATACTGGGCCGGGAGTTTCCAGATACCTCTCGAAAAATCGCGTACATTGGCCCTCGCTCTCGCTAGCTCTGGAACTGGTGCCGGTCTCTTTCGTCGCTTCGGTTCGGATCCAATGGCCGGTAAGCTAAAGCTATTCTCGTCACCTCCTTCAGCATCGAGGTCCATGGGCCCTTCTCGATCCTGAAGCATACGGCGCAATCCACTGTTCTCCCTTTTCACTCGTTCCATTTGCTTCTCCAAGTCCTGCACCTGTTTGATAGACGACATGCGCCGGTTCGTCTCCTTGGTGAATTGACATTTGACATTTCGACTCGAACACTCCGAGCAACTTGTCGTCTCGGTTGCGTCACATTTCACCTTTCTTTCTCGACAAGCATCACAACTGGGGTCCTTCCTTCGCTGTCGGTATGCTCTCTTCTGTCCCTGACCACCTGGTCCTGTTAAATGGGCGGATGATGGTCCCGGAGTGCTGGCTACAGATTCATTCGAAGCGAGTGAATCGTGTCCAAGAGAAGATGACGTGGTCATTGGGCCGTACGGTTGAAAGCCCTGAGTGACTGGAGGTAAAGGGGGGATGCCAATAGGTTGGGGCGTTGCCGGAACATTCAAACGTGGGTTGGTACTCATGGCCCCTGGCGCAAACTGGGACAAAGATTTGGGGGAAGTTGCAGATGAGACAGAAGACGAGTCGTAGGATCTGTTTGAGAGATTGGGCGAGCGAGCATAAACGTTCTGCGGTGTTGACATAGCTGGGTGCCCTCTCGGTGCCCAGCCTCTACTAGGATTTGTCGAGGAAGCCTCAAAAGGTCCCCCAACGGGATGAACGTTAGGGGGGCGTCGGTCAACGAGCATAAAGGTAACTCTGTTGAACGAAAGCTGCAGGTCGTCAAGTACAGAGTGGGCAAACTCCCGTTTCTCGCTTTGCCCGGAAAGAAGAAGCTAGGATATGCCGTTTGTTTGTCAATTAACCCTGCAACGGAGCCTTCAATCTTTGCCGCCAGTGTCCTAGTCCGCAATCAACAGTGTGAATTCGTCTCTGCGAAATGGATATCTTGAGTGCCGCGAAGCTGTGTAACCCGAGACCTTTTTGCTCCGAAGTAGTTATTCGGCTCATCACCTTGTTTAACACTAGGAATAGATTGCGGGTTTCCCAAACTACAATGCTTGGACCAGGAACGGCTAAGCAAAGCTCTAGGCCGTTACCGTTGTACCTGATAGCACTCCTCCTAGACTTAGAATGTCTATTTGGGGTCCAAAGTTCCAGTGGTAGGCGACAGTATCTGCGGCTCGGAGTACTGGCCGGGTTAGAACGAGTGACTTCAAGAAGGGCGTCGGCTGTGTGTTGAAGTCGCAGCCTTAGAGACCCGGGACAATCTTCTGTTCTGGAAGGGCCTGCGAAGAAGAAAAGAAAAGGCGAGGCCACGAGGCCGGAGCTGACGTCGTTAGGTTTGGCTCACGGCGACTAGGCTGAGAGAAAGAGGAAATGTACCGTATGGAAGAAGAGGCGCCTGCAGGCAGGTATATCGCTGCTCGTCACTAGCTACCTGGGCGGGCACAACAGCACCAGGAGCAGCAGGAGCAGCACCGTGTTAGTGGCGCTGGTCCGTGATCCGGGGCTCTCCGCGCGTTAACGCAGATTCGGAAATATTATCTGGGCCAGGCGATGGTAAATTGGGGGGAGGGGTGGCCGGACCCTTGACGAGTTGGCTGAGCAGGGCTGTTGAGATCAGCCATGGCCGCTAATGTGTTTCGAGCGGAGACGGGCATCCTGGAATATGTTGCTAGTCATAATCCCAGATCCTAGCAGTATATCCATCGATCCAACAAGACAAGTGCTTGTACCAACCCCAATGCCACCCTCGGATGTCAGAACTCGGGTCCGTAGTGAGATCCTGGACTTGATCATCAACAAGAAGACCCTGTGCGCCAAATGCTCTCAGCTATGCCAGGCATGAGCATGACTACAGAGCATATGCCCTCAAAGCTTGGTTGGTTCAGTAAGCGCACTATATGTTCAGTGACCAACGACTGAGTGAGCCATTTCCCGGCGCTGTGCTGACGATATGCCCGTCTGGTTCTCGGCGCTGGTCTGCTGAGAAAAGTTTGGTACTTCCGGAAGATGTTATGCACAAACAAGCCGGTCGATATTCGGTCATCTGTGCCTTGTGTTATCCGCGATGCCATGTGCTACCCCCGCGCCTAGATCGGCGTGCCTTGTTGTAGTAAGGCCGGTCAGGTATTCGTAGATGAGGCCCAGAAAATTCGCCGAATCTCAACCTCCAGTCTCAGACACGTTGAGTTGATTCTAATGTACAAAATACCACTATAATAAGCCAGATCTATTCCCAGATTCCCCGGGCATAACACCTTGCAATAATATGCAGCCGAACCAAAGTTTGTACGTATCGATCAAATCGAGTTACTTATGTGAAAGTGACATGTTTGCAGGCGATTGCACACATCAGGGTGTAGTCTCAGAACTGAAACACATCGTCTGTGCGGTCTGGCATGGTTCAGCGGTATCTGGCTACTATCTGACTGCTTGGCTAGTGGAGCTATGGAGCTATGGAGCTCAACCAGTACTGGACTGCACAAGGCTCACTAACTCCTGATTCATGGTTGTCATGCCAGATATGTGGCGTCAGCAACCGATAGGCAGTTTGAGGCCAGGGATAGAATGGTGATGTACTCCGTAGACGGGAACTATAATAACTAGTCGCTCTCGCGTTTGTGTGCAGTCCGAGCATGTCGATTACAATGGCCCTTGGCCCATTCGAGGCTTTGCGCCGAGCTGGTGGACTGGAATCGTTTGCTGGTCGACTTAGAGGGCTGCAAGCTGCCGTTGGGCAGACGGCCTGCCGGGCGGGCATGGGTTCGGTCATGATGGTTTCCGAAGGTGCCACCTTGTCCAGGTGTTCGCCAATAGGACGGTTATATCCGCCGCCGTGGGTGGGAGGCGGATGACGAATCCCCAGTCAGGGTCGCAGTGGGGATTCGGGCTAGAGCCGAGTGAACCGCCGGGAAGGGAAGGGTTGGACGGGTGGCTCGCCCGGGCCCTATATGGAAGGGCAGGATCTCGATATCTGGTCAGCGCGAGGAATGAAGGTTAAAATAAACTGCACCATACAAGCATAGCAACCAGCTAGGACACCAAGGCACTCGGTAGGGAATTCATACATGATAACGTCCAGGGCCATGAAGGGTCCAGAGATTTCGCACTCCGCATGGAACTGTACAATCACCAATACATACAGTGCTGCCCGGGCCATGACCCGCCTTGTATGTAACAGAAGGCAGGGGCATACTGTAAGAAAGCACAGGTCGGCGAGCAACCGGCGTTGGAGATTCGAGTGGCTTGCTCTCTTTAGACATCCTATCAAGCCCACGTCCATGACCAAGTGAAGTGGGAGAGATGCGGGCCCGCCTCGTATGCTGGTTACATCCATACACATTCTAAAATTCCAGAAGGGCAGACGCAGTGCTTCGATGCCAGGATAGAGTTGGGACGAGATGAGTTAGTTGTCCAGCCAAGTCTGATTCGTATGCAAGTCAATCCCTACAATTCAGAGAACCGGCGACATGGACATGGACCACAGACACACTGATTCATATTTAGTGGCGGCAGGGGCGCTTCGCTTTGGGGAGTTGTCACGCGCCTCAGACTAAAAGCAATCCGTTGCGGCGTCTACCAACGGCCGATTGAAAGTGGAAACAGATGGTCGGGGCCGAAAACCGGTATACTTCGATCGGTGCCTTGTATGTATCGAGTCGTGTTTGGTCACGGCCCCCAAGCTCTCTAAGCATCCAAAGGTAGTTTGGCACAATAGCAAAGGCTGCGCTACGAATACTTGGCAGAGCATCGGATCGCGAATTGGGGTGATGAAGGTGAAGCCCTCATTCGCTACTAGGCTTTGGCGTGTGCCCTTGTCAAGATCGAGGGAGCGGGGGGCCGTGTGGGCTGAGATTCGAGCTGTGGTTTCGGATGCTGACTACCGGGCGTAGAAGGGGTGCCATATGTACATGCTATCGTCTTACAGCAGGGACCACGATCTCGGAGACGGTTTTAGTGTGAGCTATGGCACCGTGTTATTGATACAGTACTCGGGGACTCGCATGTGCGCGAGGTAGCGAGCGAGCGATGCAGGCTGTAGATGCAGCTGAAGCTGAAGCGGAAGCGGAAGTATCTTTTTCTGAATTCGCAAATAGGAGTTGAGAAGAAGATGAAAATAACGTTGTTGGCGGGGGGAATGCATGCCGCGATACAACTTAGGCGAGCCTCAGGTTTACGCTGTAGACAGGGAAGGTAAAGTTAAGGTTGCCTTTGTTACAGGGGTCTCACCGTGCAGGACCTGCCGTGTTTCTCAGTTCATACAGTATCCGATGTCTTTCCTTAGGCTTCTTGGTCAATTCAGGGAGGGAAACAATGATTCTCACTCAACCCACTGTCAATGAGATGGTTCCTTCTTCGATCGGTCGGGAATTTAGTACCTGCCTATAGTAGATAGAGTTAAAGATTAACTCCTGCCTCTAGAGTACTAAGTACAGCAAACCTGCTAATTTAAACTTATGGGCAGGAAGGGCCTTATCGCGGACATCTACTTGTCTGTATAACTTACCCTATTCCCATGCTCAGATTTCCATGTCGATGAACAAAACCTCCCCTGCTCCTTGTGTTGATTCATCAATTCCACTGCCAGGTCTGATTTCCCCGTTCCCTAAGTATCTTTCCTCGTATTCTCCGTCGGCCTTCAATGCCATTTCTTCAAACGACTCGCCTAATCCCTTCGGTCTGAGCTCTTTCACTCGGCCAAGAACCTTGCATTTTCAACAGCCACCTGAGAAGAGACGGATCTGGCGATCAAACTTGCCCGCTGGCACGGATTTAATGGTCAAGCCTTTGTTTCATCGGCCCGTCCTTCGTTTATGAGCCTTGTCATCCGGGAATGAATCGCGCTTCTGAGTATCAAAGCCAGTCCCTGACACAGATAGGACAGCATCCAACCCAGTTCGAGTATCACACAGACTCGGCAAGAGATTCAACGATCGAAAGACTCCGAGTGCCTCGGAGTTCCTCAAATTTGACAGTCAGCGGTTGAAGATTGGCCCATCGGTGCGTCTTTCCATCGTCTTGGATGTCGGAATGAGCCTTCAAGAGCCGTGCTACGAATTGACTCCAGGGGTTTGTGAGCAATTGGCTAAATTCATGAGCGATGGAATGTGGCAGCTCGAATCACCGCCACCGGCTGCATACATCCGCACTTGTTGATCATTCTTCTTCCTGCCAGCCGTTGGAGTCTTCAACAACACTTCGACTGACTCAAAGACATCAAAAGGCAGCCGATGTTCGCATAATTGATCAGCATATCGCAATTAGATATTTATTCTTGAGATACTTTCTGTCACTCTTTGGCGGCTCATCCTTCCTATTCAAGATGATCCGCTCAAGCCACAGAAACGTTTACATGTCAGGTTGACCAGAATGACCAATGATATAAGACGGATCTGTTGCACCTCACTCTTCAATTGGTTTCGTTGGGGCTGATTGAGACCCACATCTCACTATATACCGCCATGGGTTTGGATGGGCTTCATTTTCTCCAGCAACCTGGTTTTCGGACCAGGCATACGGTAATCGCCTGGTTGGATACGCGAATTTGGCGTTCAGAACCACGCCAATCCACGTGTTTTTACCGTGCGGATCGCGGAGAAAGATTATGACAGTTGGATAAGCATCAAGGTCAAGCCCT